GGGGTGGGGTGGGATGAGGCGAAGAAACCAAATGGCTTCACCCACAAGGATCCCATCAGTCACAAGGACGCCACACGTGTCCTTGGCCAAAAAAATTCGGTGGTGATGAATCCTCCCAGCCTCGTAGCAAGGACCGAGCGGCTCCTCTGTTGCTTCTAGAGCAAGATATAGAAAGCTCCCATGCTGCGGAGGAGCCCAGGCCAGGTGCACGGCCCTTGGGGATCGTGTCCCACCATCTATCTGCGGGGACGGACACCCGCTCCAAAGGTCTCCACGTGCATGGAGCTCCCCGGCCAGAAACGCCGGCTTCCCCCGTGGCTAGGGCACACGGGGTCCGGAGACCTGGGGTCTAGCCCAGTTCTGCCACCCGTCTGCTATGGGACTTTCTCCGGTTTCTGCATAAAGATACCGGGCCCTGATAAGGCATTTCCCCATCTCCAAAAGCTAGGATGACGGCACGTACCCACCTCCGATACCGCTCCCCAAGAGCTATGCATAAGAGCAATGCTAGGGCTAAATGCCTCGCCGCCGGGAGTCAGACGAGGATCCAGAGTCCCGATGATCCAATGTGCACAGAGATCATCCCAACAGGTCCAGAATCAGTCCGAGTTGTGACCCCACTGGGTTGGACCCCAAGCGCTCGCTTGCACGGCCCCCCCAGGCAACGTGGCCCTCAATGGACACGATTGTGCGGACTCGGGAAGCATCTCCTGGGCAGGCCTGACCTCATACCCTCCCCGGCTCCCGAATGGCTTACCCTGGGCTTGGGAGGTCTCCCGAGGCTCTCTGCACAGCTGAGGCCGGCCTTCACTCACAGGCGTCCAGTTCTGCTGCCTTCGAAGGGGAGGAAAATAATCCTTAGCACTGCATCAGCCCCGGCTGGCTCTGTGCTACCTGCAACACAGGCAGGAAATCTCCTGTCACTGCAAGAGGCGAAGGCGGAAGAGAAGTTGTGGTCTGGAGGGTCCACGTGATGTTGCTTCCTTGGAGAGCGCGTCACCACCAGGCAAGCGCTGCGGGGGCATGGGGCAGAGCAACGGGGAACGTCGCGCTCCAGAAGCGACGGGAGGGTGAGGAGATGGGAGTGCCCCCGGCTGCAGAGCGAAGGGGGCACCCCAGAGATTGCTCCCGAGTGGGCTTGGAGAACAAGGAGCCGGCGGCCAGGCAGCTCCAGTGCCCACAACAGCCCCTCACTCCCCCTTAGCGTGCTCGTGGCGTTCACAGCGCTAGCACCAGGCCATCCCTTAGTGCTAGGTTGAGTGCACACAGCGAACGCCCTCCGTGCCTCACCATTGACTGGTATTTTCAGCATCTCCCGGACTGGGCGGAGGGTCGTTGAAGACTGGGACTGGTTCGGTGGTGGCACACAGCAGTGAAATGCCGAGGTCTGAAGCGAGCCCAGGGCCCCCAGCTTTGCAAAGCCGAGCAGGAGAGAGAGAGACCGCAAATCCAACGATACGTTTGCAAACTCCCTACCTTTCTCGAGGGTGGCTTTGAGCGAGGCACGAGGGCCACCGAACACCCCCGGGGAGGGTCTCAACACCGCAGACGGCTCGGGGCCCGCCAGCTGGAGTGAACCTCAGCCAGCCCCAAGCACACGCCTTAGCACAGGGTCCTGCATTTCGTACTGGCCCTGCTGAGCCCGAGCGAGCAGCGACATGG